GTTTGTGTGTGTGTGTGTGTGTGAGTGAGAGAGAGAGAGAGAGAGAGACAGACAGAGACAGAGACAGAAACAGAGACAGAGACAGAGACAGAGAACAACAATAAAAACAATGTCTATACAGATTACAGAAAGACAAGACCCACCATACAATTCCAGTTTATCATTTTTGTTTATGACCAAACTGGGGGAGTCATTGGAGATGGTAGCGGATTTTGGTAAACTCTGGATCTAATTAAAGGGTTTTTTGCAAGTTCTCTAATTAAAGGTTTAGAGCTTGCTTCAACAACTGGATAGAGAGAATTAATTGTTGAAGGGGATTGAAAAGTAACCATTATCCGGCTAAGGTCTGAGGAAAGAAGTACCATGCATCTTCATGTTCTTGGTTAGAGAAGCTAGAGCTAAGACTGAAGACCTGAATGCCTCGTTCAGGTGAGTCCCAAGGACAGCAAACAGTCTAACTGATCATCCGGACAGAGCAGGGGTCGACAGACACAGTGACTCACTATTGTATGGAGAATGCCAGGACCTGGGTCTGAATTGTAATGTTATGTCCCAGAAACTCACACACAGTTCTCAGACCCACAGCAGCGTTCACACACTTGAACATCAACAAAAGAGACTAGTATTCATTCAGCAGAAAACATTAACAGTTGGTCGGTTCTTCGAGAGACCGCCGGCTCTCCCAAACACTCACAATATTCTTTACTCAATACCACCCCCATCCCCCAAAGCCCCTTCTTATACTCTACTGATAGCATAACTGACTCCCTCTATAAATGCCCAGCTGGCCTAGTTATAAATGCCCAAAAACTCTTCTTATTCATAACTGACATAGCTATAAATGCCCCAAGGCTCTCCTTATTCCCTCCAGCTATAATTGCCCTCATGTGATTAATTGTTCAATTATTTCCCCCCCCCCTTAGCTGATTGTTGACCTTTCCTCTTCCTGGCATTAATTGGGGCTTATCATGTAACAGAGTGGATTTTTGTTCTTCTATCAGTATCACTCAGCATGATGTTGCTCTGTTGCACATACATGCCCAGATTTTCAATATCTGATGCCTTTATGGTAATAACACCAATACTATGGTTGCTTTAATTAAAAAAAAAAGACTATGTTTATCAAAAAAATAAAAGACTATGGCCAAGGAGTTAACTGTGACATTAGCCCATCCTAAGATCCATTGGAACAGGATGTATAGCCAGAAGGACAAAACCTGAGCCGCCTTGAAATGGTTGCAAGGTCTCATGGGACTTCTTTTACCAAACTACAACTCAAGCACCATGAAAGAATTTCCATCACAACCAATCTTTCATATACCAAAGCATGGATTAGCTTGATGTCCTGTAGAAGAGCCAGGATCTCAAATCTCAAGTTTCATTTGGTTGCCCAAAAAAGGAAAGGAAAACAAAATGGGAAAAAAAAACTTCTTACAACAATATGGTTAGTCAGAAAACCAAAGTAAGACCTTTTGAAACTCTAGATAATGTGAAATCACTTTTTGTTAATTTTTCATTTTTAGGGATTGATTCTTGTGAGGTCTTTCAAAGGAGAAGGCCCCAATTAGACTCTCACCACACATCTGCTTTATCTGTAAAGTAAGTTATGCAACAACCTTATATCTACTAATGTTTGGGAACATTCTTTGCCCTATGTGGTGCAAGATGAAGTACTCAAACAGCCAAAGATACATTGTTTTGACCTTCTTTTTTCTCCCCCAGAAAAGAGGGGAAGGATTCTGTAAAGATGCAAGCATGCAGAAATGCTTTGGACATTATCAGAAGAACAAAACAACAGGATATCCCTTGACCACTCTCATACAGTGGAAGAAATAATAGGCTTGACAAAAAATCGGAATCATCCATTGGATGAATACCAGGAAGGAGTTCTGAGTCCACAAGAAGGGACAGGAATCATCCATTGGATGAAGGCCAAAAAACCGGAATCATCCATTGGCTTATAGTGACCTCAATAGGGACAGGAACACACCGGTTTGGTCACCCCCACCACATAACTTGTTAAAGCTAAAATTTGATGAGAGCAGCATTGGAAATGCTGTTCAATCAGATATAGGTGGTGCTATCAGGAACAATAAAGGACATGTTTCGATCGCTTCTTCAGGTCCAATAGAAAAAGGAGATTTAATAAAGGCTGAACTCTTAGTAGTAATCCAAGGAACAAGACTGGCTCAATCAATGGCATATGAGGAAACCAATTAAAAAATGGCAGATAGAAGGTTTGTATGGAAGAAACTGATGGTCCAAGGCATCTACAACCTCAGATCAGAGAAACTATTATTTAAGCCAATGCATTAAATGTAAGGTTTGTATTGGATTCCATGGTCACACACACACACATGGTAATGTTAAAAAAAAAAAAAAAAACTGTTGTATGTGGTCTCCACCCAATTTTTGCATTTTCCAAGAGGACTGCACTAAAAAGAAAAGCTTTCTGGAACACTGAAAATGGGGCCTAGTAATCTTCTTAGCTAACCAGATGTACCTAGAAAGTTAAATGTAGAAAACCTTCTTCTAGATTCCCTCAATTTCTTGTGTTTTATTTTATGGGTGACCAATGCGACAGTAGTTTCTTTCTTACTGCCATAGTTCACTAACTCAGGATCTTAACTTGACTCAGCAAGGACAGGAATTAGTTGATTCAGGAACCATAGAGTCTACTCAAGGAGTGATGTTACAATTTTAGAATTTTATCTAATAATGAATTGTACACTGCCAATGTCAGAAATCTCAACTTCAATCATAAAGAAAACAATCTACACTCTTTTAATAGTAAACAATACTATATGTGAACAATGTTTGAACTTCTATTAATTTATTTGAAGTTTTCATAAAATTGAACTACACACAACTAAACAAATCAGTCTAGAATGTCTTTAAGCATGCAATGCACTACTTCTTGCATTTTACCTTTCAAAAAAAAAACATGTATATATTATTAGCACAAGTTCACAAAACCTGATTAGAGAAAATTGACTCTGAGTCAATCAATTGAATCAACAGTGTCATATCCCTCAGGCAGAAAGTTAACCATTGGAGCCAATAACTTGACTTGGAGGACTTGTACACATTTAGCGCCTGTTTAGGAGGGCTTTCATACAGCGGCTTCTGGCATTGCAAGGTAGACCCAACACGGAAAACCATGAAGCCATGTTTAGCGGAAAATCCGGAAAGCCAAAAATAGGCTTACATGAGCTGAGAAATTGACTTTCCAGTGAAGCTACCCAGTCAACGCAGCTCAATCAACACTGAAACTCTCCTAAATGGGCCCTTAGAGTCATCATTATGAATTTATGACTAAGCTCCACCAACTTATGTACACACACATTTTATTTTAAAGTTTTATTATTGAAATTTAAATGATACTAGGGTTTTGAGACGGGAAAAAAAAAAGAATATAAGTATACAGAATTTCTTTTTTTTGTGTGTGTGTGTTTTGTTCTTTCCATTCTCTCTGTCTTGCATTAAATAAACAGCAACTCCACCCTTGTTTTTTTCTCTTTTAATTGCCCCCTATCTTATCAGTTATCACATAGAATAATAAACTTCTTTATTGCTAATTTGATATAAAATTGTTCTATTAAATACTTATTATATTTGTAGTATTTTTGAACCATTGAAATTAATATATTTTAAATGCTTTTGTCCTAGGTATGATGATTTGTCATACTTTTGAGAAAAAAAATATCTTCTTAATAAAGAAAATAAAGACAAATGCAATTTTTTCAATTAAGATGCATGCTCAATGGTATATCGATCTAGGAAACGAGGCAAATTTTAGTTTTTTAGATTGTGAAATTTTTATAGCCTAGGCGAATAGGCGCCCCATTGTCGCCCAGAATCGCCTAGAGGCCTTGACAACTATGGATGACAACATTATCTACAATGTCAGAGAGACATCCTAAAGGTATTAGTATGATGTACAATACAAACAAGCTCAGGATCCCTAATTTCGAATTAAACACAAATTTGAAACCCCACTATGACACCGGTTTCTTATTACCACAACAGACATCAAACCCTAGTTGCATTCAAATCTGAAATTTATCGTCAAAAATACAGACCCATAAATTATTCAGACCCCTGAACCAGTACTAATAAGTAGATGCTTACCTAATTCTGATATCCCCCGCCCCTTGCATTGTCATCCTCTTCGACCTTCGCAGTCAAGTAAACCGGAGGGAAATCAGAAGCATCGAAGGTCTTCTCCTTCATCATCTTCTCAACATCGGCCTTCCTCAGGATCGTTCGCCGGATGGGCGGGCGGTTGCGTCGTTGGTCGCGAGTGTAGTATTTGATGTCGTAGACCGTCTCGGGGTTGGAGGTGGGAACACAAGCCTTGGCGTGGGCAGTGGCAGGACAGAAGACACGGTATTCCAGAGCGCTCGGGAGTGCGCTCTTGTACTCGGGATCGGCACAAGGGCCGGTGATCTCCCATGGTTTCTTGATGAACCGTTTCAGGGACTGAAACAACGATTTTGCTGCTGAGGACGATGAGGATGTAGCCATGGCGTTTCGGTGTTTCGTTCGTTGTTTCTGTGGACGGTGGACGGGGGAGACGACCAGAGTAGAGCTTCTACTTTAGGTGACCGGTTTACTGGAATGGTTGGTTGGGCTTTGGATCGGCGTCATAAACCCGGTCCGTCAACTTCGACCGAACTATTGCTTTGGGCTGATCTGTATAAGACAGATTTTTTCGGTAAGAATTACATATTACCACCAGGTAGTTGATTAGTTATTACCGCTTATCATTGTTAGTTAATTAGTTATTATTTATTGGAACGTAAAAAGTTCATAATTTGAATTAGAATTTCCTCCTAACAAAAATTATTCTTACATGGTTCTAACATGACCTATGTCATTTCACAGGGAATATGACCCACCACACATGAGATGTGTGGACATAGAGATTTATTGTAATGTGTAGGAACAATTTTTTGTTGGGAGGAGATATCACCCACCATGTATAAACTTTTGTATTTTATAGATATTTGTAAATTCTACTCTACTGTATTATTTTAATTTATCGTATGTTCCTTTTATTCTTCGAAACATCCTCTCTAAAAGACTCTATACATTTGTCCCATACCCTGCATTTGATTGGAGTCTCGTGCATTAGGATGCTCTATATTAGGGGTGGTAATTTTTCTCGTCCTTGACAGGTATTCGGGCTCCCCGACCCAATAGGGTCGGGAATGGAGAATCCCCACCCCGATCCGTCCATATATATATATATATATATAAAAAATAAGTATAATAATTATTATTTATTTTTTTAAAAGATTAAAACTTAAAAAATAGTAAAATGCTAAAACCCTCGATAGTAAAACACAAAACACTTCGACAGAGAGAAGAGAGAATTTTGTCCTTCGTTGGCGACTCTACCTCTAAACCTTCGTCTTCCACTCTTCCTTTGTCTTCGTCACAGGTTGCCGATTCACCAACCGTCGTCTTGTCGTTGTCGCCACGCGCCCATCGGATAGAGGACAGAGATACTTGAGTGACAAAGAAGAGCTACTCAAAGAAGAGTTGTTGTCACCACTCGCCGATCGTCGTCACTTCAACCTTTGTCTATCATCGCCGACCGCCGTTGCCGTCGCCCGTCGAACTCTCTCTCGTTGCCAACCTCAACTCTTGCAACGGTCCTCTCTCTCTCTCTCTCTC